TACCTTTTTCTGTATTAAAAAAGTAGTTTTGTGTTTAGTTTTATTTTAATTTGTGCATTTTTTTCCCCCATGATTTTTGATCCATATTGATCAAAGAATTTGGAAAGACAAGTTGAGTTCCTGTATATTCTCTAGCAACTGGCAGTTTGGGAAGGAGGAGAGACCATGACTACTGTTTCCACAAGAGAAAGGCAAGCAGAATTCAGCCATTACTCTTCACATTCTCTGGTCAATCCATCAGCACACACATCCACACGCACAGCCAAGCCAACCAGCAGGGAAGCAGCTCTGCGCTGGAGCTCACGCTCCCCCCTCCACGACAGCATGCTGCAACAGAGGACTCTTGCAGGTGAGAGCATAGGCAGAAAAAGAAAAGCAGGTATCAAGCAAATCAGGAGAGAAGAGAATTCAAGGAGCAAGGGACACAAATCTGAAAGGAAACGACCTTTGTTTTCCACAGGATGCACTATTTAAAGGAGGAATGCACTATGTCTGATAGTGCTGTTCACCAGGATTTTGCTGTGGTTGACAGCAAGATAACTATGTTCAGAGACAGAAAAACAAATCTGACAAATGTACTTGACATTTAATGGCTCCTAGAGTAAGCCTGTTAGTAGAGAGAGAAAAGGAGATGCAGCACAGGCCCAAGGCATTATCTCTTGCAAATTAAGAACTCTTATTTAGTGTTTATTGAATATTTGTGTAATTATAAAATATTATTCTATTATAATAAAAATACTCTTAACTAAACCTTAATCTTTAGTCCTGCAATAACTCTACATCACTTATAACTTTTCCATTGATAAGTATTTATAAATAGAAATGATCTTATAAAACATAATAAAATAATAATGCTGGCAGTAAACAATTTTCAAAATACTTAATATTCTAAGCTGGTGTAAAATATAATTAGGATTTCATTAACAAATGCAGTCATATACCCATTACACTACTGCAACATGTTTTAATAAAACAATTATCTGCAATATGAAACTGCAGTTGATCAGAAACTCCTATCAGAAGTTTCTGATTGATTTCCATTATATTTCTATTTTGTAGGTTAACTAGTTGCAGTATTCAACTTCTACATGAAATGAGCTTTTTACTTAAAGCAAATTTAATTTTTTACTTACTGGGAACACAGACCAACCTATCAGACAGTTGAAACTACCTTTTGAAGAAAGCACCAATATTGCATATGTTTAAGTAAGTTACACATTAACAGGTAGTTTAAGAAAAATATCAGTGTATGCTACATTACTCTTGTGTGGAACAAAGGATAAATTAAAACACACTGTAATCTAATATATATAGCATATAGGCACTTAAAAAAAAAAAACTTCTATTATTCTTCAACACTAAAAGTGGATACATGATCAATTCTTCTATGTCCATGACATACTCTATAAAGTACCCAGAGGTTACACGTTTACAAAATAGTTGCCACCTTGTAACAATCCTGACCCCAGTATGGATTAAAACTGGTACTACCAAAAACGTAACTTGATTTACTTGATTTATACCAATTCCCTTTATTCCTTAAGATGAAACAACGGAACAACCAAAGTCTCCTCACAGTAAAACTGCTGTGTCTCATAGGAAAATGACAAAGGTGTCCTTGAACATAATACAGCAGGATCATTTAATCTACAGTATTAGCTACTCATAGCTACAACACCATAAAGGAATGTTAGATGATCTGACTTATCTATATATTAAAATAAATCCATACTGTGTGATAAATTTGACCTTAATTCCAAAACATATATCTGAATATACGAGGATAAATTGCAAAACTGATGCAGTATTTTTATTCTTACCCAATATATATGAAGATAAGACATGGAGATATTATCTTAAAATATATTAATGAACGGTAGTTTAATTTGTAATACTAATTATCATCCAGTTAAGGAAAAAAACCATGGTTCAATAGGATTATGTTAAGAGCTACACCTTCAGCAGATTCTGTTTAAGGCAGTTCTCAAATAATTAGTATGGCAAGGTGCACCAGACCCTCTTCTAATATGGCAAGTGCAGTAAGATAATTTTTATAAAGAATTGTTTTAATCTGATTCATTAGGCAGAAACATATGTGACTGAATAAAACACAAAACCTGTACCACAGGAAATGCCACACGTGCTTCTTCTCTTTCTCACAATCATGTAATATTAAAAGTGCATCCAAAGACATTAACAGTATTACTATGAATTGTCAATTAAATACTAAATGTGATTGTACAACTCTACATGGTACTCTGTCTTTCCAGGGCTTCTGCAACAATACAATAGTAGGTAAGAATCCATAAGACTGAGTTTTAAGAGATGTATTAAAATACTTCATTTTAATCTGTCTTCAGTTTAAATCTCAGTACAGCTATTACAATTTTAAATATTATAAAGTAATAAATGAAACCAAAGATAGATGAAAATACCTATTTACTGAAAAAATGTAAGGTCCTGACTCCTGCAACTGACGCCTGTAGGCAAGTGCTCATGCATAATTCATGTATTTTAGTGGGCTTACCTACAGGCCTAAGTGGTCCCTACAAAGCTAATCACAGTTTACAGGATCTTAGAAATACACTGTATAATGTATTATGTGCACATGAAAACTCAATTCCTCAATTACATTTTCATCTAGAACTCAGAGTGAAGCGTTAAACTAAAATTTTCTCTCTTGCAACCCAATACCTGGCAAACATCACAAATCTCCAAAGAGAGAAGAAGCAAAAAAGGCACTAAATGAATGGGCAAAGGCAAAAATGTTCAGAGAATAAAATACTGCATAAGACAGAAAATTAAAGTAAGCTACTGCACTGTAAGAAAGAATTAAACTATAAAAAGTTACAGCAGAGAGACATGAGAAACTCCTAAGGAAAGACATATGCAAAACACTAAGCACAGCACATAAAATTAAGCACTGCAAAAAGATTTAAATCAACAAGTTCAGTTTTGATGAAAATATCTCAAGATGGAATGCAAAGGCTTCTGAGCTAGAACATATAAGCAAAATTCACAAATATGCATCAAACCATATTTTCCCAAGAGGAATCATAATACACAAACATTCAAATTGTGTGTGTAATACCATAAAAATTAACATTAACAATACGTTATAATTATACAACCCTCTAGATGATTATCTACATGAATGTCTATGTTGCGATAATTGATAACTGAATTTCAGTTTAGACATCTTGGATCTGTCTTTGTAGGAGGGATCTATTTTATTAAAGAGGTTGTGGAACATGCATCATTTCAGCCTTCTCTCTGAATAATAATATTCCATAATTTACTTTCTGTGATGATTATTTTTCCTATTATATAATCCGTTTTCCCAGAGATATTAAGATATGAATGTTGTTTAAACACAAAAACATTCAAAAAGCAACAAAATTTATGCAAAAATACCACAATCTACATTTAGTTGGGGTTTTTTTAGCAAGTCTTATCAATAGCTGTTGAAGGCTTCAGTATATTCATATTTTATCAATGTAACAATAATATCTTGGAAAGTGAAAATCCGCTGTATGAATGTGTATGTCATCAAGCTGTGTAACAAGAAATAATGTAAGTTTATAGACATATCAAATTGCTTCTACAACACAGAGGAATATATCTTTTTTTTCCACTGTGGAATGTCCAAAGAATGATATTAATGCCTTCTTGGAGAAATCTTGTCTCCTCAACCTAGCCATGATGCTGATGTCTCTCTAAATTGGCTTTTAAGAGAATATAAATATAAACCAGAGAAAAAATCATCCATAAAGACAAGTTTAATCATAAACTGACGAAGGACAGAAAAACAAAGCTGTGTACCATTTGAAGATCTGATAAGTAGAAGACCAGCATATTTTGCTTAGCCAGAAATATCACAGGCAAAGCAAATAGCCTTCATCTGACAGCCTGGGAACCCTGGAATTCTTTGCATCTGACTAATCAGTGAAAAAAATTCTGCTAAAACCTTTTTTTTTTCCGCCTGGATGCCGTCCTGTGCAACTCGCTCTAGATGAACCTGCTTTGGCAGGGGGGGTGGGCTAGATGATCTCCAGAGGTCCCTTCCAACCCCGACCATTCTGTGATTCATATGAAGCAAATTGAAGATCATTGGCATTTGGCCTTTCAGTACTCACAACAAAAGGTAGAACATCTACTGAACAGCAAAACATGGAAGTCAAAACAGCATTACAAAGACTGTGCAATAAAAACTCTGGCCCAACCTATCATTTGAAGGCAAATTTTCTCCATGTAAACTTTCTTCACTGAAAAAATTTCCCTTTTGTTTCAAGAATCTATTTCACAGTTACCACAAATGTGACTACCTAGGTCTACTTACAGACATTCAGATGATAAATATAAAAACAACTTAGTGCTCTTTTCTAATAATAATTAGAAAGTGTATACATTTACATTCAATGAATATAAACAGCAATGTAGACATCATTTACTCTGGAGAAAGTTCTCAAATCACTGCATTTGATCAACTTATCTTCCTTAACACAATAAGTAAGTAAAGTCTTTCTCATGACACTTTGAAAATAGGTACCTAATCTTAAATTCTATGTACAACAGAATGATAACTTCATAAGCCATATGTGCTCTGCCTACCGGATATGCTGATAAATAACTGAACTCTAATTAAGGGTTACAAGTCCTTTGGGTTTGTTTCCAGCTAGTTTTTTTTAGAGAAAAGAGACAACAGATGTGTTTAAAAAAAAAAACAAACAAACAAAAAAAAACAAACCAAAAAACAAAACCATTTCTGGCTAAAGAATTCATACTGCTAGAAATGTATAAAGCACATTGCTGTACCATACTGCATATTAAATAGAGTTTAATTTTGCTTGGGGTAGAAACAAGGAAGAGAAATGAAGACTGAAGAGTATGAAAATTATAAAGCACTTAATTTTTTGTGAGAGAACTTTAAATACATAATAATTTATATATTTTTGGTAAGAAACAAAAGCAGAATTCATGGTTACCATAGTTACACATACTCTTTGTTGTGTTTCAATGCCACATGATCTGATTCAAAGTAATACACATCAGGCTCTTCCTCATCATCCTCTGCAGTGTGGATGTTGGCACTCTCTTTGGCAGATGGTACATATCCAGAAACAAGCCTAGCCTCAGAAAGTGGCTTTCTTAGTCCATCACTCCCATGATCTCCCGTATTACAATTTCTCTCTTTTTCATTCTGTTTAAATTCTTCTGAATTTTTGGGAGATCCATTGATATTATTTATACCTACAGGTACATTCTTTTCAGTGGGACTAAGATTACTTTCCTCAATCTGTCCATTTTCTCTACAAGGAGAGTTATTTTTAGTAGGGCTACTTCTGGCAGGGGCAGCCCTTCGTGGTGAAGTTCTCAATGTATATCTGTGTTCTTGAAGTTCCGACAAAGGTGTCATTTGAGCCGAAACACAGTCCAGCACTGAAGAATGTGGTTCAGGTTCACCTGAGATTGATGCACTGTCATGATGAGTATTCGGGTTGCTATTGGTGTTTTCAGCACACTGTTCCTTAGAGGCACTACTATCTCCTACAACATCTACCTCCTCCTCTGAATCCCTTAACAAAGATGACTGGATTTCAGAAAAGGACCCTGTAGCTGGCTCATCTGCCTGATTAGCATGCTCCTCAGGCAAGCAGTCATTTATTATTTTGTGGTCCTCTAACTTTACCTGCTCTTGAGAATTTGTGCAAGGCACATAATGGTCTACAACACTGTCCTCCTTGCTGCTATTAAGCAACAATGAAGAATGGGCAAATGAATTTCCATTTTCTGCTACTGTTTTGTCCTTGAGCATACAGGAACCAGCACTGTTTTGCTTAGTGTTCCCATCAAGCTGACAGTCATCACAGTTAAGAGAATTTGAGTCTCTCTCACCAATTCCATTGACAGTCTGATAGCCTGCAATCTCATCAACTATTGGAGAATTATTAAATCCTTCTGCACAGACATTCACCTTTTTAACTTCCCTTTTGTCACAATCATCCAATATAAGACATCGACAAGCTCGCTTAGTCCCTGTGGAGACTGCATCATTGTCCGACACTAAGCTTTTATGCTCCAATGATTCCTTCTCTGTTTTAGTGGGCAAGTCTTCTTCTGAACTGTTGGGTGCCTCTGAACGTAGACAGCGCTTAACTCTTTTCAAAACTGGTGAAACAGGTTCTGCTTGTTTTTTTTCACAATTTTCCACAGTTTGTTTATCAACATTATCTTTTTCTGAAGTAGACAGCCCTCTCTTCCTAGGGCTCACCCAAGATTCCCGAGCACTCTGCTGTTTCAAATCAGTAGTTCTTCCACCATTACTTCCCTTCTGAGTTTGCACAGACTCTGGCCTCTTCTTTGGTGACCTTGATCGTATTTGAGGATGGGGTGAAACTTCCTCTGGATGAGCAATACTACGGTTTCTTAATGTTCTACCACAAAAATTTTCATCCAAACCATTTAAACCCACTGTAGATCTTGTAACACGAGTAGATCGAGAAGCAGCCATACTATGGCAAGTCCCTAAAGTATGTTCATCATGATCCACTCATTGGGAAACCTTCAAAGAAAGGCAAACAAAACAGTCAAAAAAATATTTTAAAAACCTACAGACATAGCAAATTGAACAATATACTGTCACAAATGTACCTAACGTAAAACTGAATATGCCTGTGCACTCTTTTCTGTGTCAGTAAATTAGGGCATTAAAAAACTTTTCCACCTAAGCTACAAAGTGGCTGACTTTGTATTTGTGGTTGTTCTAGCTTTAGTATTTGTATGTGAATGCTCTTCATATTTATGCCATATGTAAGCCTGGAATGTTCCAGTTAGGCTCCAGTTACTAAATTACACTAGTTTTATGTATTATAGGTATGATATAACACACTGGCATTATTATTTAAGTTTGTCTGGTCAAATGAGGTATCAAATCACATTCTTAATATCCCACAGTATCCAGTTACATAGTTTCACATATTAACAAGGAAACCATTAAAATTGTATTTGCTTGCTCACTTGTTGCTTAAGAAAAAAACAGATCGCTTGTAAAAAAAAACCAAAACAACTGAATTGCAATTCTAATTTAACAGGGGATTAAAAAAAAAAAAAAATCACACCAGTGAAAAATAGTTATAGTCATTAATAGTAAAAATGAACTAGCATAAAATGCCTGAATCAGGATCATAAAATCATTCAAGTTCAAAAGGACTTTGGGAGGCAACCTAGTCCAACCTACTGCTCAAATGAACATCAGACGAAATTCAGATTTAGGTACATAGGACTTTGTCGATTTGTGTCTTGAAAACCACCAAGTACAGATATTCTACAACTTCTCTAGGCAACCTGTTCCAATGTTTAACTGCCCTTATAGTGAAAATACTTTTCTTATACCCAGGTGGGGCCTCCCCTATTTTTGCATCATTTATGTCAACAAAAAAATCTCTATCTTCTCAGTAATCTCCTCTGAGGTATTAGAAAACTGCTTCCCAAGCTTTCTCCATTTTTAAACTTTTCCTACAGTTGGTGAGATGAACCATCACCTACCTTGGACTTAAGTAAATAGAAATCAGTTCAGTCTTACCCTTCTATTCATTTCACCTTTAAAAATTCAATGTGTTAAACTGCATATCGCCACAAACCTGTCATAATACCCATGATAATTAAGAGATTCACGTTTGTACATAATGGCATATGTTCCCTTTTCTATCTACCCAAATTCCAGATTTTACAAACCTGTTCAACTGACATATGATGTGAAGACTTAAAACTTTAAATATGGAATCAAATCTTTTACATGTTATTTAGAAAGGCTGAAAATGACAAATGAGGGAAAATTGTTTCAGTAAGTGTTTTTCATCTGCAGCAAAGAAGAGGCGAAAAAAACCCAAAAGAGCATAAATTTTCACAAATCTACTATTCAAGTGTCAGAAGGTCTTAGAGAAGAAGAGAGAATAGGATGAGACCAGTATACCTCTTAAACAATTGTGTTTGACAATTAACAGTAATTACTATATTGTTTGTTTAGGTATTCATAATGCAAGTAGTATTTCTTAATGAAAGTAATGTATCCTAAAAATATCGCTTGGTATAGCTCTAGGTACACAAAACGATGTGTTGTCTTACACAGTTGTAACTGTGGTATAGCTCCAGATACAGCTCTGTAAGACAGCACATCATTTTGTGTAATGAAGAAGAGGCAATTACAAAGTGGAATTTGCAAATGTTCTCAAATCTCCCATTGTATTTGTGCTGCTACAACC